TCTCCATTGTCATGTAAACAAAAAAAGCCCAACAATGCAGGGAATGAGAAGAGGGTAGCATCTTCAGTTTCAGGTTTTTGTATTACATCACACAGTGGTGTGTGAATTCATGACAGCGTTGATAAAGTACAACTCCCTCACACCTTCAGCACTCATACATCCCTATAGAAGAGCTTTATTACCACTGAACGCCACTGTGGGAACCAGGCACTTCTCGCTGTACTCCTTCCTCTAGCAACACCAGAACATTTTGGATGCTGTTAGATCCGAAATGATTGAATTGGTCTCATGAGACCAGAGTATGGATTCCCAGAAGTCTATATTTTGTAAATATGGGCCTTGGAAAAAGCTAAATGAGTTTGTTCTTTGGCTACAGTCGGTAGTTCTGGTGTGGATAAACAACCATGCATGTCACTTCTGCAGGCTGCGTCATACTCTGTGAGATAAAGTGTCACTCTTTTCACAGCTTTTGCCGGCTCTGAGACACTTTCACAGTGTTTCTCCTGCTCTTTTTCAAGCAAACACTCACTCAGCACTAAATGAAAGCTTAAAGTGAAGACCTGATTATTTCATGGGCCTTTTCACAAGTCCATTGTTTTTGAATTTCTGTTACTTTGGCCATATTTTCACACTTAAAACAATAATTTGGTATTCCTCTCGTACCATTGTCCTCTTTTATGCTAAGAAATAAATCTCCTGACAGTTCTCTCTCAAGTGGTTTCGTTGTTGTCAGCATTAAGTCCGAGTATGATTCAGTGGGCCATATAACACTTAATTATCAAGAAATTACTTGCCAACAGTTTTGGTTCAACATACTTACCTGTTGATCAATACTTGCCTTAACCTTACACCAGATTTTGTTTGGAATTTTATTTTTATTTTTTTATTTTTTTTACTTTCAGGAGGGTGTACTAATTTTTGCAACACAACATTTCATCACTTTGATAAGAAAATTGTATTTTCTTGAATAATTTAATTTTAACATTCTTCTTTGGTAACTGATCAAGCAGACTTGCTGGAATATTATATCTCTAAAAAACCATAACATGTCTTCTAAGCAAAGAGTAATTGCTGAATTTGTTAAGTTTCAGAG